GAAGTTCATGGAAAGGGAGACGGATCCGAGATTCAGTCTTGTTGCTCTGGCACCGAGTTTCGATTGAGGAGGAATCAAGATGAAGACGAACATACCCCACGCTCTGGCACTATTCGTCTGGTTACAGACAACTGGATCCAGATCGTATAGCGAGGCCCTCAGCGTCGTGCTTCCACTGGGGGCAGATCATCCGCATACGCTCGCGCATTTTGCCCTCGCAGCATTCACCTAACAGCTGGAGACATGCATCAATAAAGATGGAATGCATTTCAGCATCATGGACTCCACTAGCAGAAGAATATCGAGCTCAATATATCAAACAGAACGCCGAAAACTTCCATAGAAGCATAGCTCACCCACTTGTCAGTGCTCTATCATCTTTTTGCTTCAGCTTCACATCCTCTCCCCAAGACTTCTCTCTACCGCAGGAGACGAAGGCGATAAAGGTGATATTGCCTGCTCCGCCGACCCACAGGGCCAACCAACCGGCTCCTTTACCTCACTAGGACTCTGTCCCGGACTGGCCTGATCACTCTCACTTGGACTTCCATCCGCACCTATTCCATTCGTCGCAACTGTTCCCCTCCTCGACCCTCCCCATGCCGTAAACTCCGAATCCTTCCTCGCCGTATCCCACCAGTGCCTCTCTCCCAGTCTTCCACTCTCAGTAGGGTCTGAATAAGTCGCACTGCCCACCTCCTGCGCCCAACCCGCGCCCGTCGCCAGCTTCTCTTCTTCCCTAGCGCGCCGCTCTTCCTTCTCAACCTTCAAACGTGCCTGCGCGTGCTCGCTGGCCAGTTTCTCCGCATCACTGCGCTTCGCGAGGGTGCGCGATTGATTGAGTTTGCGGATCACTTTGCCGGGCTGCTTCGACAGGCGGCGCGGCGCAGTAGTCACTGCGCGTTTCAGTTGGCGTGGTATTTCTGCCATCCCTCCCAGGTAGGTTTGAGACTCCTGGCTGGAGTGTCTTTGGCTGATGGCCTCGTTCGAGTCGATTGTCGCAAGCGTATTGGGTCGCGCAGCGCCTGATGCAGGAGAGCGAGGCTGTGGTTTTGGTTTTGAGATGTCTGCAGGCCCGATCGCGCTCTCCTCATCAATAGTGTTCGCACTAATACTCACATCCGGCGCAACACCCATAACGCTGTCCATACTATCGCCCCGTTTCGTCCTCTTGTTTCCCTTGCCCAGACCCCCTTTCTCGGCCCAACTCCCCCACGCGCCACTTCCATACCCATCCACCCCCCATCTAGACGACTTGCCACCCTTATCCACATTGCTATCATCACCACCCCTCCGAATGCGAAAGCTGCCCCAAAACGAACCCCCAATATTGCGCCTGATGTGTCGCCAAGGCTTCTCCCTGTACGCGAAGATCCCACAGTCCACTGCCGCCATGAGCGTGTAGCAGCACGTCGCCAGGACTCCCAACGCGAAGGGTGGTTGTGCAGCGAAGTAGTTGTTGTACTGCATGCAGTGCAGCGCGAACGGGCACAGCCACATGGCGATGTAGACCAGCGGGTAGATGAACGTGAGACGAAGGTGCCGGCGTATGGCGGCGCGCTGGCTGCGCAGGACGTTGGGGGTGGAAGGAGCACGGCTTCGGTGGAATTGCGATGGCATGGGGATTGACAGGACGGCGGGGAGAGTGAGGCCGATCTTTGAGCTGCGGGTATGGTTGGAAGCGATAGATTGCGCGGAGGAGTTACGTTTGGTGTTGGATCGGATGGAAACACGGCGAGGTAGTGCTTTGGTGGGGGTTGTTGTGGTGGTGGGCTCGCGGTGGCCTTTCGGGGGGAGGTCAAGAGAATGAATGCGTCGTGGTGGGATACCGGTAGATGATGAAGAAGTGGACATGCTGACGGCGGATTTACGCCGTCCACCGGCCGGGGAAGGTGGAGCATCGAGGCTTAGTTGTGTTGATATGGGTTGGTCTGCTTTGGGTGTCTGAGCAGGCGTACTTCCGAAAGCGGTGGTGAGAGCTGAGAGACGTCGAGAAGGTGCGTTGTCCATGGTTGAGAGGCCAAGCATATCGAATGCATCGTGCGATGTTATGGAGTCGCGGATGTGTGAGCTTCTGGGAGCAGTAAGTGGTTCGGTGGACGGTTGGGTTGTCTGAGTCTCTGTATCGTCTTTCGGGACAGCGATGGAGGACAGGGCCCACCATCTGCTGCGCGTAGTACCCTTGTATACGTTCCGGACGTGCACGTACACCGCGATTGTCAGGCCGAGAATCGTCATGCCGATGATGTAGCGCGGTATCCAAGAGAGCGCGAGACGGTACCAGAGAGGCCGGATTGGCAGCATGCAGAATGCGCCTGACGCCGTGTAGTGCCCATTTTCCATGACGTACCCAAGAGAAGAGCAGAGGACTGGGATGATGATTAGGGCGGCGTAGATCCAGTGCCGGTACACGAACATCACGTCGACGGAGTGGATTGCATTCACAGATGGACGAATGATTTGGATTGCACCATGCACGGCGAGTGCAAGAGCTGCCCAGTCTGAATAGAGTTAGAAATTTCCCGTTGTTTGATGGGCGCATATTCACCATTCATGATAGTTCCGAATTGAATAAACCATCCACTTGCTTGGCATACAGTCGAGGATGACTGGACCTGGCCCTCGCGCAGCGCCAGAATGGAAATGATGAGCATCCAGATGGCCCGAAACAAGTCTCCAGTGATGAGAAACATGATAAGACTGTTGGCGGTTAGAGTTGTCCATGAATGTATGTGAAGCTTCCTTACCTGTGACGAAGGCGCTTACTCATCCTTAAAAACCAATACGATGTCACTACCGCCATCACAACGCTGATTGCTGCCGTAGCTACTGCCACCACTTGAAGTACCTTCTTTTCCCATGGTGCCCAGTAATTCGCGATATGCACATAGCGTGGCGCGATGTCGGAGTCACGGGAATCGATGGCTCTAATCACGCCAGAGAATATGAAGCGCTTAGGGGTTCCTGCAAGCTCTGTAGCGATCTTGAAACCATCTCGGATCGTGATACCAGTGCCGTCGAATGGGTTTGGGATCTTGTTCACTAATGCCGGCATTTTCGAAGGAGGAGAAGGACTCGGCGATCGAGTTCGAAGAGGAATGTCTAACAACACCCTTAAACCCGGATTGCGTGCAATTAGGTATACATCGGAAAAGACAGACTTATAGGGGCAAACTTAGGACGAATAGATCGAGTAGCGAGTCAGAAGGATGATATTAGACGGCAGCCAGGAAAAGGGTTGTGTCCTCCATGAGGAATCACACCGCAACCGCACTCAAGGTCGTCACTGCCCTCACGGCAAACCGGTAATCCACTCTTCAACAAAGAGCGGTGCTAGGTCCGAGAAATGAAAGATCGAAATGTCTCTTTCCAGCCCAATAATGGCATTGAGAAGAAGTCTAGATGAGACAGAGGGAGATGTAGCACATGAAAGCGGAAGGTTGGACGAGTACATAGGGCCGCAAGCAACCGCGCGGCTAAGACAGCGCAGCTCAGTGTCATTGTCAAAAGGTGTGAATATTGAAATGGCAAGATGCCGAATGGCCGAATTAGCGCGCCATGCCTTGACTGAGGCGAGGAATTGGTTGTGTTTTGGGTGGGTGTGCGACGTCAAGCTCATCGGCCTCGACCCAACTGCATCCGGCAATGGAGACGAGAGGAATGCAAAACTCTTTCAGCTCCGTGAGTGATCGTCTGAGACACGTGTAAAAATCGTATCACTACCACAAGTTGGAGACCCACAGACTTCGTGTGATACTTAACTTAGACCGCGATTGAAAGATTGAGAGTGAGATGCGAAAAAGAGGAGGCGAATGGTGGCAGAAATCTCTGAAGGCCCCCTGAAAAGCCGGGTCGCGTTTTGTGGCTTCAGAACGACGAGGTAAAATATACTAAACTTGGGAACCCAAATTTTAGGATTTTCAAGACAATGAAATTCAAACATTTAGCATTCCATTAACTGATGAATCATGAGGAAAGGAGTAGTAAGCGATATTCTGGTCGTCAACTCGAGTCGAAAGATCCCGTCCCGACTCCCTTTCGGCAAGCATCGTCCCGTCCCGTCCCAACTTCATTTCTCCTCAGTTGCATTTGCGTATTCCTCTTTCTGCACTTGCACACCCAACTTCTCATATTTCGTCGCTTGGCTGCTGGCAAGCATCTTGCTTAGTGCTGCTATTATCCTCGTGTCGACATCACTAGATCTAGCTAACAAGACGTATCTCTACCGCTCCCATTTACGGGCCCCCGACCTCGATCTGTCCCATGAGGACGATAGCGTCTATACTTCGCAAACACAGCAGTTAATTAACTTCTGGGTGCGCATTGGTAGTATAATCTCGATGTGGGAGATTACAATTAGCTAGAGACGATTCGTTGCGCAAAGCGCTATTATACAAATGCCCGACTCTTTCTAGAAAACCGGCCGAAAGAGGCCAACCGGTAATGGCCTATCGATCCTGCTAGGTTGAATCGATAGAATGTAAAGCTGATGCAGAGGCCGAAAAGCTCATAAATTTTCTTACCATTCATGCGTTATTCTCTATCGTCAGCACGTGACTTACAAGAGGCAAATCTTATGTACCCGTAAGAGTGAGAAAATGTGAGTCGTAACGTAAATTATTACTGGAAGGAATCAAGCCTTGCTGTGGTAGTTTTCTACTTGAACGACAAAATTTGTCAGAAGATGGGGATGTATCTACTGTTTCGTAAGATTACCGAGATTGTAGCATACTCTGGGAAAAAAGCCTACTCATGCCGCGTCAGGGTGGAGGGCTTAGTTTTGAGAATGGTTGGTGCAAAGGCATTCGTTTAATTAGGCACATCGATCGGAATCCAAGAATATTGGGGAATTAAATCTCTACGGAATAGAATTGTGAAATATTTCAAAATTTAGGCTAATGTGCATTTTCTACCTGAAGAGAAGAGAAAATGGTCGAAATATTTGGATTCAGTAACTTGAGAATATGTTTAACTTAGTCTTGAAAAGAGCGATATTTTCTGGTTCCTTAGTGTAGTGGTTATCACACTGGATTTTGATTATTCAGAATCTTCCAGTAACCTGAGTTCGACTCTCGGAGGGACCTTTAAACTGTTAAACCAATTTTTTTGGTGATTCAATATCACCATTTAATGAAATACCCTACAAACAAACTACTTTAATAGGTCCGTTGCGAAGACGTGCTATAATTTTGGTTCGTACTGCAACAGGAGCGCTCTTGGCTACAAATTTCGTTTGTACCTTGTATTAAAATTTGATCGTATCCTGGTGAAATAGCGTCGCATCACGACTATTTACTCCATGGAACTGTTGCACAGATACAAACGGACTCGAAACAGAAATTTAACTAAAATAAAATTCTCGTTGATCTCTCGCGTTGATACTTGTGGGGACCCTCGATACGGTGGTGGAGAGCCGATGGAAGACAAACATCACGATTCTCAACCCAGCTTTCATCATCTTGAAGAATATTTACGTTAGAGCTAATAAGGGGTGCATCATATAGATTATTCTATGTTCAGCATTTAATATTACAATGTCTAGTTCCATTTCTGCTGCAGCGCACATATCTGAATGATCAAGAAGCAAATAAGCAATTCAGCAACAGCTCGGGGCGTTCGACTCAGCAACGCAAATTGCGAAACGGTGGTTGAAAGGGTATGCTAGTGCTCCTATGCATTCCGGATGGCAGAGTACCAAATTCAACACTCGTCCGTCGGACGAGAGTCTTAAGATCATGCACTGGACTTCGTCTTCGTGGAGGATGCGCAGATTGAATGTGCTCGTTATAGTCGAAGTCTGCCGCAGACGCAGAAGCAAAATCAGAGCGGAGAAGAAGCTCATCATCATCGTCTTCCATCCTTTTGGAGGAGAGAATATGCCTCGGACTAGAGCGGAGGTGAGCTGAAGCGAGCGTACGCTCGTAGCCATCGATGCCTGAATAGAGCCGTTGCGACGCCATAGTAAAATAGCTCTGCGTTTCCAAACTGACTTCAACAGGTCTAGGATGGGATTCTAGCCATTAAAATGAGTACTTGAATGCCTTCACGCGTAAATTTCATCAGACGTCACTTACTCCCAGAGCGGTGCTCGTCCACTGAGGTCCTTCGGCTACCCCGGACGTTGCGCACTTTCGAAGCTACTTCAAAGTTTCTCGGACTGCTTTCCTCAATGAGGTCATCTTCTACCTCATTCCATTTGCCTCCTTTCAACATCCTTGCAGCTTGCTCAGGAAGATTCCGATCCATGATCGAGCTCACTGGGACCTGCACGTCATTCAGCACCAAGGATGACGGACGTCGAAAACTCTGGGTAGGAGGTAAAGGCGTTTGTCTGCTTTCACTTTGATGACCTTCGTCAAGCATGTCAATATCGTCGTCGGCGAATTCGTTGCCATCCCGCTGGTTCTGCGAAATGTTCTCTGTTTCATCCTCATCAACGATGTCGTCCTCAGAATCTGATGGCGATGGCGAACGTGCAGGTGCAGTCACCCGCTCAAGTTGCGTCAATATAGCCAACGGTATGCTTTTGCTACGCCTTGGGGGTTGGGTGACTTGCTTCTCATGTTCGTTGGAAACATGGATTTCATCCTTTTCTTGGCCATCCCTTGGGGCGGCGGAGCTGGCCGAGTGGGACGAACTTGATACTAAGGGTAGAGTAGTGCGTGGATTGGCATTGGTACATGGAGAGTAAGGTGCTGCGCCTTTCCGCAACGGGAGCGCTTTCCAAGGAGAACGGAGATCCACCGGTTTCACATGTCTGCGTTTGCGTTTAACGGTGGGAGCAATCTGCCGTTCACGACCAACGAATCCATCTCGCAACGCATGTTTGCCGCCATCTGGTGGGAAGCCGTCAGCCAGCTCCTTCCGAGGCATTCGAAACTCCCTCAAGTCCGGCGAGACGTCAACCCGGGCTCTAGGGGGCCGAGCTGGAAATCGAACATTCTTTTGCAAGATGCTGAGGGGGGCCCTGAGAAGTTTTCCTGTAGCAGATCCTGTGCGCTTCTTCGGCCGACGTGTTTCCGCCTCTTCATCTTCAATCTCATCATGGCTATCTGATGAGACCGGCTAGAGGAACGACTGAATTAGTCATTAATTTGATACTGGGAAGTCCACCTACACTCTCATCGGCCTGCAGGTCATCCAACGTAGGAACAAGTACAAGACCCCCAACATCTGGCAGACGTCGCCGCTTGTGAGTTGTGGGTGTCTGCACAGAATTGTTGGCTGCTGGCTGCACTTCAGTATTTCTAGAGTCGTTGTTAGGACGAGGTCCATCTCGAGCTGTGGCATTCTTTCTCGAGTATGTGATCAATGGAGCGTGGCTTTGGGGTTTAGTCAGTGGAGGAACGTCGCCAGTCACATTCGGGTGCTGGCCTTCTTTCTCTGGCGTTATTGTCGGCGGTTTTTGCACGTTAGCAGAAGTTTCAGTGACAGCGAGTGGCTCTTTTGCAGATTGAATAAAGAAACGTCGAGCACGAGGCTCGTCGTGGGAGGCTTCCGAGTCGGAATCATCCCTGAAGACAGATATGGGCGCGGTTAGTCGCTTGAAGTTAGCTTGGTCCATTGGAGCACGCCTCGTTGTCGTGCACTATCCCAAAGGATACGAATAACGGTGCATTGCTATCATCGCCCGTGGCTAGCAGCTGATACGTTCACATGTGCCCTGGAAGGCTGGTTGTTGAATTAAGCTCTTGCGCCCTGATGAATCGCGCCTGCAAGCGCAAGGCAGGCGCAGCCGCGCTTTCAGCGCGCCAAATGCGGAGAATGACTCGGCCTAAATCTTGTCTCAACCAACCTCACACCGTAACAATGCTCAATTCAGTCTGTTCCTAAGCTTTCCCCGCCACTTCGCAATGTCGAGGCCAGACACTGGCACGGTGGCGCCAGTAAGCTGGGTAGAGGCTACCCCAGAGCCGCCTCTGATAGACGACGACGAGCCGCTCGCCGAGGTGATCAGAAAACTGGCGCCGTACGATCTTTCCTGCAACTATACATAGGGAATGCGTATTAATTTCCTTGTAGTTACTTCATCGAGGCAATTCAAGTGCCGCATAGTTTCGACGACCTTCGCACCATTCCCCATGGGCATGCACTCACGCCTCTCATCAAGAGTCTTTCAGAAGAATGTCATAACCGGATTATTGTCCATGCTCTGCTGTAAGTGTTTTGGGCCTATTGTAAAGAACTGAAACTGATTGTATAAAGAGCCCTACGTGGCCATTTTATTGCCATTGAATCCGACGACGACCGAGGTGTTAACGAGACTCGAGGTTTTGCATGCGAAATTGTGGCATGGCGCTTCGTTACCCATCTATCGCAGAACGAATGCATCGACTATCTTCTATATGAGCTACCGGCTTGGACTTGCGAGCCTGAACGGAGACGCGATGCTGAAGCTGCTGTGCCAGGGGCCACCGTAAACCCAGGGGTGGTTGGGCGTGACGCCGACGAAAGAACCCCTCTAGTGATTCGTCCCTCTGGAGAATTGCAAACACCAAGAGTTTCCAGAGGCTCTAATTTCTTCGGAACGTCTACTTTCGGCACTACCAGGACCAACGCGAGCGAGAGGGACGAGTTCGTATCGTCGTTTGAGAATCTGAATGCTCTCGAGGTTGCAGCAGTGTCAGGCGCTAAGAAATTTTTGAGCCAACGCGTCGTACAAAGACTCATTGACTCGATCTGGAGAGGTGACATCATCTTTTGGGAGACGCTGAGTATCCACTCCATCAAAGAGGCGAAAGTTTACAACAAGAAGTACGTGGCCCCAGTGTTGTCCACCTCCTGTCCATGCTCTTCACCACTATCATTATACTAATCATGTATCAAGCCATGCCGATCTTTACTCGAGGCTAAGAGTGCCGCGATACATGAAGGCCTTCGAGGTCCTCTTCTTTGCTTCGTTCCTCGCGCTGTACTATGTCGTGCTGGTCCAGAAGCGGTTCCATGCCTTGACGCCGGCCGAAATTCTGCTTTACGTCTGGATTACTAGCTTCGCATACAATGAGTGTAAAGGCCCAATCAGGATTCAATGGAGTTTGCAGAGCTTACCGAGTTTCAGTTGCCGAGTATCGAGACGCTGGACAGGCGTTCTATGCGGCCGATTTCTGGAGTCTTTGGGACCTCACGATTGTTGCTTGCGGAATTGCATTCTTCATCACAAGTACGACCCAATGTCCACAATTTTCGCGCTGGAGGTGCATCTGGAATCTCGCCGAAGCGGCACGGCACGCTGATGCGGCCGATTTATAGACCAGACTGTGCCGCTGAAGGCCCATTTTCATTTCATTGTTCATTATCTACATTTCATTTCTAATGTGCTGCAGGGATTGTCGGTCTTGTGGACGAAAACGACCGGATCATCGACACATCTTTCGACATACTGGCATTGGAGGCGCTTTTCCTCGTGCCGCGGTGCGTGATACTGTTGCGGCAGTCACAGATGGCCGTCTTGACTACTGTCCGCTAACCGACTAGACAGTATCTGCTCACTTCTTAGCCTTAACCCTTACTTCGGCACCCTGGTGAGTCGTGGCCTCGAATGACCATGGTCCCGCCCTGCTCCATCCTTCGCTAACTCTCATGGCGACAGCTACCGTGTCTGAAAGAAATGGTGCGCGGACTCCCAAAGCGTTGACCTGCAGAAGACTAACAAGGCTACTCTCCACATAGACAAAGGACTTCGTCAAGTTTCTCAGCCTGGTCCTTGTGCTTTACATAGGTACGTCGCAGACACAGCCCCCTAAATGCGCGCGCCGCCCACCATGTGGCAATGCCGATTTCGGCCGCAGTAACTGATTGGCCCATCTGCAGGATTCTTGACCACTTTCACGCTACTGGCACGAGGCCACTTCACGCTGCGCGAGATGTCGTGGATATTGGTCAAAGTGTTCTTCGGGTATGGTTCGTTGCCTACTTCTGCAGTTCATGCTGATCGCGCACAGGTCATCATATCTCGGCTTCGTGAGTGTGACGGCCCATTCCAAGACCGGTTTGATGTGACTGACAATTTCGCATCAGGATGTTGCTCAGGAAATGTAAGAGATCATGCTCGAACTTATATCTTGATAGGATGGTAATGCACTGA